GGAAAAAAGGTCTGGTCAGTGCTCCACTCTTTACACCAATATAAATTTAAGATGAATGGGAGATTTAATAATAAAAACTGAAACTAACCCAAAATTTGGCTGACTTAGAATGTAGAGGGATTTTCACCAAATGGCATTAAAGACAGAAATTGCTAAGGAAAAAGACAAATTTGACTACATAAAATCTTAAAACTTTTCTACTATGAAATAACATATACATGGTGAAAGAAAAATACCTGTGAAAGTTATATTCAACATAAGTGAGAGGTGAATAGTTACTATGGAAAATAAAACGTTAAAATGTATTCAGACTTGCTAATAATCTAAAAAGTACAAATAAAATGATAATGAAATATCATTTTAGCCTATCCAATTCAAAACTATTTTTTAAAAGTAAAGGATACAAAATTTCAGTCAGATAAGAGTAATAAGTTCAAGAGATATATTGCATAACATGGTGATTATAGTTTATTATATTATATTCTTAAAAAATGCAAAGAGAATGGACATTAAGTATTCTTACCACAAAAATGGTAACTACATGAGGTAATCCCTATAACTTGCCTAACTAATTAAGTAGATTTAGTCATTCCACATGTAAATATACATAAACACAAAACTTCATCTTGTTTTAAAGAGAGACAGTAGGCGTGTATGTATTGTATAACAATTTTATATATCAATTTGAAAAGACATATAAATTTGTGATTATATTGTATTAATATGCTATGCTGTGATCATATTATAACTGTGTATAATTATAATTATGTAATATTTTAATAATAAAACAACCATTAAAAGTGGTATACTAGCATTTCTGAACAGGGAAGACAGCTTTCACATATTGTAGACATAATTTTTTTCTTTTCTACATTTGCATTTAAAAATTTCTATTTTCTTCTTTTCTTTTTTTAAAGACAGGATCTTGCTCTGTCACTCAGATTAGAATGTGGTGGTGCAGAATCATAGTTCACTGTAACCTCATACTCTTGGGCTCAAATGATCCACCTGCCTTAGCCTCCCCAGTAGTCAAGACTGCAGGTGTGCACTACCATGCCCAAATAATTTTTATCTTTTTTTTTTTTTTTTTAGAGATGAGACCTCACTGCATTGCCCAGGTTGGTCTCAAACTCCTGGCCTTGAGACATCTTCCTGACTTGGCCTCACAAAGCTGTGGGATTAAAGAGTTGCATTCAGCCTATATTTACATGTTATATATGATGCGTTTTTATATTCAGAGAAAAATACAAATTTCCATTTTGTAGGAAAAAATATCTGATGGATTTGGTAGAGACATTTTATTACTATGGCAGATCTGGGTTCTAGGTATACCCATAACATTGTATCACTAGTGTGAGGGAGCTAGATTGACTAGCACCCCAAAGCACCTCACTCATTCTAACTTTGGTCTGCTTTAGGTTCGGCACTGAGTAGAGTTGGAATTAATCTTTGCTTTTTAAAATTTGAGACAGCAGAAAGGAAGGATTGGTACTGCTTCTTTGTCACCACTGGGCCACCTTTGTCCTTCCAGCCCTTCAAACTCAAAACCCTAGAGTTTCGTGTAAACTTTTTTTCTTTGTCTTAGCCGACCTCCATACTTACCAAGTCCCACTTATTCTTCCATCCATTCTTTTTCCTTCAATTGGACCAACATTATCATATTCTGGGGTATAGTAGGTATTGATAGTTCAATAACTTTCCAGTTGGTCTTGTTCCCTTCTGCCTTTTTCTCTTGATTTTATCCTAATACTGCTACTAAAATGCCTGAAACTGTCATGTTTCATCTTAAACTCTTAGTCATTTTCTGTTACCATTTGGATGGTGATTTCCTTTCTTTCTGTGCTTCAGATGAAGCCTGTGAAACTTGTAGATGGCCAACCATTGTTCTATGGACGCACACTGAGCTTTTCAGTCTCATTTGTCTGTAGTGTCCTGATTCCTCTTTGATTGTCTTGCCTTTCTTTCTTCCTTGTTGGCAGATCTTTTACCTATTTACCTTTTTGTATTTCTCTGTGAAATGAACTATAAACATAAATATCATAAGAAAAGCCAGATAACTCCCATAATTTTCAGAGCATTAGGCATTTTTGGAAAAAATCTTGAATTAAATTGTTCATACACTTTCAAGAGTCTAGTCATTGCTAATTACTCCTCTTTGCTCAGTCATTTCTTAGCATTGGCAGGTTGGCCCATTTGTCCATTTGTATTTTGACTCAAATAAAAATGGTATCTCTTATAAAAAGCTCTGTAAAGGATAACTTTGTATGTGTATTTTTTTATTCTGTGTTATGAAATGACATGCTTCTCTTTCATATCTTTGACAGAAATAACATAATCTGGCAGGGCTTCCTCAGCCTGAATTTTGAGCTTAAACACATGAAGACCAGGATACAATGTGATATAGGAATTAAGTACTTGATCTTTAATGATAAGACAGGGATTTATTTTAAAAAGCATGTTTCATAACTGATTCAGCTGGGTGAATTTGGGAAAATTACTTAACCTTTTTAAGCTTGAGTTTCCTTCTCTGAAAAGTGCTACCAAATTTTTGAGCTATTTCTGTTTATTGAAATGTCCTCTTCTTTCTATCCACCTGCCTACCTTTTAAACATTTTAAACATCATAAAATCCATTTTCTAAGAGGACATGCAAATTTCTTTTGTTAAATTGTTTATTGAATTGCAAAATTTAGGAATAGAAATGTTTTGCTTTGTTCTAAGTGGTATTTTCCATTTTGTCTATAATGAATATTTTCTAACGATTTTTATTCAAAGTTTGCATTCTTCAGTGTTTCTTTTTATTTAATTTTAATGTGAAACTTAATTGACAATTAGAATTTCATTTTCATTTTAAGAATGTGTAGCAAAATACACAAATATTCAGATGAAGTTGAAATACAGGCTAAGAAGTCAGTTAGACAAACTGGTTTGGGGCACTTAACTGCTTTAGACATAGGTGTTCATTATCAGCTTCCCCTCCTCTACAATATAAGATTTGAAATCTGCTCCTTTTACTTCATGTACCAATTATACTTCAGATTGTCTATTATGGCTCCTTGAAATGTAGTAAGATAGGCGACTTAAGTTCAGAATTTTAGCCTGTTCTCCTAAATTTGTATTTGTTGCTGTAATTTGAAGTCAATTTGATGTTGGAATGTCCAGAAGATAACCTGAGAATGTCCTGCAAGATATTGATAGGTAAGTTCTATAAATCCTGGAAGAAGAAATCCAGACTTGGAATCTTGAGTATTAACAGTTTTCCTTATCAGAGATGCTAAAACCTCAACACAGCATCGGATAGTTAGTAATACTTTTAGTACATGCTATGTTACCAATTCAAAGAAGATGGAACTATGTTGATATGAGTTGCTAAATATTATCCAATGCATTTTTTAGATATCACCAATATGATTCTAGTTCATTAAAGCTGTTCTTGTGGCTGTGTTTCATTGTTTATTAGGATATTAGATAGTTTAATTATATCACATCCAGCGTAATCAACTTGAGTAATCTAGTTTTCAGTGTATACATTACATTTTACAAAATAGACTAAAGGCATATTTGGAAAGATGAAAACACAAATGTATTTTTAGTCACATATTTATCAACAAGTTTTTACATCTTTTGAACGATATAAAGTTACTCAGGATCACAAAGAAACAATATACATAAATTACAGTAATCAAAATTTATGCTAGGCATAGGCAGTGAATTGTGTGAGAATAAAATATTTTTCATCAGCTGAACAGTTACCAAGAATTTAGATTCACAGTCTTGGTGAAATGATCATTCCCACCAGGAAGGATGCTATGGGGTTTCTTTATTGCCATTCAGTGGTACTTGCTTGAGTAGAGTTTGAATATGCCCGTATGATAGGTACGTTTTATATTGTATAATGATCCTGGCCAAGTCATAATTGGGCTGCCACCTTATCTCTCAAGTAAAGCAAGACACTAGGATTTGTGCTGAAAAGAAAAGAGATGTAGGAAGGGCACACTGGAACTTAAAGATTGCTCTGTGTATTCCAGACACAGACATTTTGAGGACTGTGTCCTTCCCATCACTCAGTATGCTTTTCCAATCAATATCTTCATGAGTTGACTGCAGTAATATTATTTAACTGTGTCAAAAAATGAAGTGACACCTAATAAAAATGCAAAGGAAAAAGCTGGAAACCAAAAGAAAATGGTTTTAGGCTTCAAACACAGGTAGAATATAATGGCATGATGATGGGAGATGATGTGTACTTCAATAACAGTTTATTAAGCTGAAAGAAATAATATGGTGTAGTGTAATTTACTTAATTAGTGCCTAATCAGTAAATAAATGTATTTGGTTCTTAGATGGTAAACCGTCTAGGTTCCTGTAGGATAATGATGGCTGTCAAAATTTGATCTCTCCAAATATCCTACAGAAAAACTAACAAGGAGAGCAAATAAAACTGTTTTCAAGCAAGCTTACAGAATGACTAGAAGACCAAGAATGCTGCAAGTTTCAAGCTACTTTTAAAGGAGAAATAAGTTACAGGAAGCCTACACAGCCAGTTCCAAAGCTCATGTTGGAACCAGTGAAGACAGAAAGGGAAGTGAGCAGGGGAGTGCAGCAGGATTCTCATGGAGGCTGGACATAAATAAGATCACTCCCGAGACCAGGGATAAGTACTGAGAACAGGTCTGGCAGCTGGCAGCTGGTGGATGAGACCACTGAATACTAAAAAATCTTGAGGAAAGATCTTAAAGGTATGCAGAGCAGAGGTGACAGTCTTGGGTATGCACTGTCTCAGCGGGAGAATCTCCTAGAGGCTGAGAGGTGAGGGAAAGAAAATAAGCAGTTGGTAGAAATTTGAGGTATTAAAGAAAGGAATGAGTATCTGAAAATCATATGACTTACCATTTTCTGTCTATGAATAGTTAATTTTTTAAAATACATTTTATTATACCAAAAAAAATACGAAGTTCTATTGATAGCAACAACAACAAAATTCAAATGCTTCTTTCCTAGACAGATCAATATTCTTGTTAGTGCAGAAAATCCTCAGATAATTTAAAATAAATAAAATAAATATATCAGGCTATATCCAAACACCATTACTGCAAGAAGAAAACAAAAAGTAAGTCTTTTTTATCTGATGATTATAATTCCCAAATAAAACCCACAAGTCAGAGGAAATATTATTAAATAAGCATTTACATATGTTAAAGAACATATCAAAGTGAAAATTTTAAAACTCAGAATATGAATTTTTTAAAAAACTGAAAGATGTGACATAGGAGTTGATAAAATCAGGAAACTGAAGAAAAAGATACACCAAAAGAGGCCAAAGCTTTTTTAAAAAATGAAAGTAATTAGAAATCAGCTATTAAAATATGAATCTAAACAAAAGAAGAAAGTACAGAAACAAAACAAAAAATTACAAAAGAAAAGGAAAAAACTAAAACATTTAAAAACTTAAAATGTTAATCTATAAGAAGAAATTAACCATAGTATTAAGCTGAATTGCTTTAATAAGCATAAAATATTTTATAGAATGAACAACACTCTCTCCCTCATAAAAATATAATGATCTATTGTCAGAGGCAAGGTATACATTTTTTTTCAGATAGTGTGACATTCATTAATGCATTAAAACTTGGGAAATGTTTATAAAATATTTATTTGATGATTGTCAGAAGTTGATCTTATACATATTATGAGGGAAATTGTTTTGTTGTAAATATTTTCATTGCATGATATCTGCCCATATATATCTCTATATATATATCATAATGCTATATATATGATATATATAAAATAGCATATATGTATACAGGTTTTTTTCCCCCAAGACTCGAATTTTCTTGAAGGCAGACTTTGTTGTTTATTTGTATGTATATTTCCAGAAATTTTTATGATGCCGCATGCATTCTAGGAGCACAGTTAGCATTTGCTGCCTGAACTGTAGCATGTATCAACCAGCTACTACTTATTTTATAACTGTGATACTCAAATTTTTAGTAGAGAGAAGCTTTTTCTTTAGTATGTCTTGAAATTCATGATGAACCTGGTAAGTAAGATCAGAGAGGGGTGTTGACTGAGCTTGGCAGAGAAGCAAGGGAGAGGATTGGAAAAGTGATGAAAAGTCAAGCCCTTTGAAGGCTGTAGTGGTAGGATATGAGAACGGAGAAGGAAATTTGAGAGCTTCTTCCATCAAGCTTAGTAGGAGTCAGCACATCCATGTGGGTACAGAGTGACAGCAATCAGAAAGCAGAGGCATGGTGGCACTGCTGACACTCAGTTTCTGACTTCCAGATCTGTAATTAATATAATGAATTAATTGCACATAATCCAGTTTATGACAATCTATAGTATGCATCTTGTTTCTTGTTACGAGTTTACTAGTTGTGGCTCAGAATTAGTGGTTCTACTGTGAACCATGGGGCTTTACCTAGGCTGACAAAGAGGTAAAGACATCTTATACCATGTTAGGCACCAGAATGACCTGAAATATGCAGCAGCTTTCTGTTATAGGTGCCAGTGAACTATGCATCAAAATGGCATGAGGCTACATAACCACATTGCTAGTTTTTCCTCTCTTGATGTATGGTTTGATAATTCCACATTTAGTAGGTGTACAGAAAATTCCTTAAAAATTGTAATGTTTTTTATGATAGAGAACAGGAAAAACTCTCACCAACTGAACATTTATATAGCTTATAATTCATTCTTGATACACAGAATTGAGCCCCCTCATGCACTGAATAAATCTGGATCATTTTCTAATTCTATCAGAATTCGGAAATGTAACAAAATCAAATTGTAGTATGCTTAAGTAGAAAAAAATACCCCAGTTAATAATTTAAAATAGCCACATGTATTTATATAATGCCTAGCCATTACATGTCTCAGATCATTAAATCTTGATGGCATTATCACAGGGTAGTTACCTCATTTCCATTGTACAGATGAGGAAACTGAGGAATAGTTAGGTTAATGACTTATTCAAAATCACTCATATAGTAGCTGCCAGGATTCACATTAAGACAGCCTGGCCTGGCCAGTGCAGTGACTCATGCCTGTAATCCGAGCACTTTGGGAGGCTGAGGTGTGCAGCTCACCTGAAGCCAGGAGATTGAGACCAGCTGGCCAACATGGTGAAGCCCCGTCTCTACTAAAAATACAAAAATTAGCCAGGTATGGTAGTATGTGCCTGTAATTCCAGTTACCCAAGAGGCTGAAACAGAATTGCTGGAACCCAGGAGGTGAAAGCTACTGTGAACCACGATCGTACCACTGTACTACAGTCTGGGCAACAAAGCGAGACTCTCTCTCAAGGGAGGAAAAAAAAAAAAAAAAAAGACAGCCTGGCTCTAGTGTGTGTGCCAAAGTACTGCATCACATTTGGTACTTTCTCCCTAAAATTGATTTACATAGGAAAAGTGACAGACCAACAATAGAAAGCCAATATTTTAATTCATTGTGGAGGAATCAGTGACAGCAGTGACTAAGTTTTTAAATATTATTTGTCACTGTTTGCCAATATTATTGTAGACACACTAAATTTATATGTTTTCTAAACTATAATTGAGACAAATGAATAACAAAAACTTCCCCTAGTCTGTCAATTTAACTAAACCAGAAAGGTAAAAATTAAAAAGCAATTATACTTTTGATAAGTTATTGTTTTTTAAAAAGTAAATAATGTGAAATTTGGGTTTTCTAGAAAATTGTTCTATTTAGAATTCTCTTTAGCTTTGATCCTTCCAAAATTCCAATTGATGTCAGTTGAGATATTGCTGATTTTGGGCTCTTCACTTCCTGACATCTAAAATATCGAAAGTCTGGCCTCTTTCTTACAATCAATTCTAATCAGCAGATATTTATTGAGAGCCTATTAAGTGCAACACTGTTACTAAGAAACAAATATCTTCAAATAGCATGCATTGTTGTAGGGAACTTTCATTCTTCAAGATGACAGAAGAAATGTCATAAGGTGAAATATGTGAATTCATTCCCACATGAATAAAACAGACAGGATGTACTATTACATTTCTGAAGGAGGAGAGAGGTCTTTATACTTCAGGGTTATGAATGAAAAAGTTCTCATGGAAAGACTAACTTGAATTGGGCATTTGTAGGAACTTTTTAATCAGTAACTTTAAAATACTTTTCAGCTAAGCTATAGACTTTTGATTTTAACAGGCAGGAATATAAAAGATATGATAAAAAGCTCAAATTTGAGAACCAACTATATCCTAGTAACAGCATTGAGTGTTTTAGAAAAGGTATATTCTTTAAAAAAATCAAAGCAATAGATACACATAGCTTCAGAATATAATAATGGCAATAGGTTTATAAAGAGAAGCAGCAGACACCTATGTCATTCCCTACATTCCTTGGTATTAAAAGAAAAAAAACTTCTATTAAGTATTAATTTTAATATTTACCTTTGTGTATTAAAAATAATACAGATATACTGCCATTTCTAAATATATATACATATATATGTTTCAGATGTGATCTATTGATTTTGTTATAGTAGTTAAACATTTTGTTCACTTAAAAAAATACACATACACACATGTGTACATGAGTACCTGTGCACTCACACAGGTACCTCCCCTCCGCATATGTCTCCAGTGAATTCATTCCAATAAGTTTATGGTGAGTTGTATTGTCATTGTTATTGCTATTATTCCCATGTGTCTTTTTTTCTTTCTCTTTATAGTTGCTGCTTCCTCTTGGTTTGATTATTCTGCCTTCACTTGGCCTTTCATTTTCATATTGGAAGTTTTCTCAGATATCTGATAATCCCCAGTTAAAAGCTCTGTGTGCTTGGTGCAGGGGCTGGAGGATGAAAGAGAATGTGGTAGGCTTTGCAGCTGCTGAGTGTGATCAGTGAATTGGACTAAAATCTGTATGGAGGGGGTCTTACAAATATTAGTATCCACACTTTTTCTTTTTTCCTTCAACTTTTAAGTTTTGGGATACATGTACAGGATGTACAGGTGTGTTACAAAGGTAAACATGTGGCATGGTGATTTGCTGCACAGATCAACCCATCACCTAGATATTAAGCCCAGCATCTATGAGCTATTCTTCCTGGTGCTCCCCCTCCTCCCTCCCACACCCCCAACAGGCCCCAGTTTGTGTTATTCCTCCCATGTGTCCATGTCTTCTCATCATTGAGATCCTGCTTAAAAGAGATATCATGTGGTGTTTGGTTTTGTTTTTGCCTTAGTTTGCTGAGGATAATGGTTTCCAGCTCTATCCATGTCCCTGCAATGGACATGGTCTTATTCCTTTTTATGGCCACATAGTATTCCATAGTGCACATTTACCACATTTTCATTAGCCAGTCTGTCATTGTTGGGCCTTTGGGTTGATTCCATATCATTGCTATTGTGAATAGTGCTGCAGTGAACATGTGTCTTTATAACGATGATTTACATTCATTTGGATATATACTCAATAATGAAACTGCTGAGTCAGATAGCATTTCTGCCTCTAAATCTTTCAGGAATTGCCACACTGTCTTCCAAGTGGTCAAACTAATTTACATTCCCACCAACAGTGTAAAAGCGTTCCTACTCCACAATCTCGCCTCACCAGCACTTGTTGTTTCTTGACTTTTTGAGAACTGTCATTCTGATTGCTGTGAGATGGTATCTCATTGCGGTTTTGATTTTTCATTTCTGTAATGATCAGTGATGTTGACCTTTTTTTGTGTGTTTGTTGGCTGCATGAATGTCTTCTTTTGAGGTGTATCTATTCATTTCCTTTGCCCACTTTTTAATGGGATTGTTTGTTTTTTTTCTTTTAAATTTGGTTAAGTTCCCTGTTGACTCAGGATATTAGACCTTTTTCAGATAGATTTGATAGATTGCAAAATTTTTCTTCCATTTTGTAGGTTGTCTGTTGACTCTTATGATAGTTTCTTATTCTGTGTAGAAGCTCTTTAGTTTAATTAGATTCCATTTGTCAATTGTTGCTCTTGTTGCATTTGCTTTTGACATTTTCATCATGAAATTTTTGCCTGCACCATGCCCTAAATGGTATTGCCTAGATTTTCTTCTAGGGTTTTCATAGTTTTGGGTTCTACATTTATGTCTTTAATCCACCCTGAGTTAATTT